CCGCAGAGCCATTTCAAGGGAGCCCAGCAGTGACTCGAACTTCCCACCACGCTCAGCCAGCTGCGCAGCCGGGCCGATGAATCGCTCCTTGCGGGACACTTTGCGCAATGGGGCACGACCCACGCGCTCCACGGTATCCTCGAGGTAGGGGTTAGAGATTCGGGTGATGATGGTCTCGACGTACTCTTGTTGCTCAGCGGCGCTGATTTCATGTTTGTCGATGATGAGAGAGGCAGTCTCTTGAAGCACATCACGGACAATGTTGCGGATGCGAGAGTCCTGGAGAGCTTCGGCAATGGTCTTCTTGCCGGCATGGTAGCCATGGTAGGCTACGGTGGCGTGACCGGTGTTGACGGTGAACAACTTGCGCTCAATGTAGGGCTCCAGGTGGCCAACCCAGTGGATAGCTGGGATTTCTGGGTGACCAAACTCGCCGAAAGGTGTGGACTCCACGGCCCATTCGTAGAATTTCTCGATGCGCACGTTCAGACCACTGTGAGGGGCCTGACCAGGTACAATACGATCGATAGCCGAGTTAGCAAACCGGGCCCGGTCTGGCATAGAGCCGAGACGGTCTTGGGCGGTGTTGTCCTTGATGAACTGGTGTAGAGTGTCAGTGGCGCCGATGGCGTTCTCACAGGCGATGACGGCCAGCGGTGTGGCGTCGGTACGGGCGTCGATTCCCTTGGCAATCACGGGTGCGATGAACTTGAGGATGTTCGGGCCCACGGCGCAGGTTACAACGCTGGCAGTTGAAATCTCCTGGATAACATCACTCTCATGGGTCTTGGAGTTGATGGCCCGGTAGTTGGTGATAGTCTTGGTAGACTCGCCCTCATCACTGACTTCAGTGACCTGATAAGACTTGGTGTCCTGTAGGGCAGTGATGATACTGTCCATAACATCAACGAAGACGACCTCAAAGCCAGCAGCGTGGAGGAACTCGGCGACGAAGCCACGGCCGATATTTCCACCACCAAAATGAATAGCTTTCTTCTCCATGATGTTTGATATGAGAAAGTGGAAGTGAAAGTGGAAGTGGAAGTGAGAGTGGGAGTGGGAGTGAGAGTGGGAGTTGAAGTCAAGGTAGAGGGAGAAGAAGTATAAGGGGAAGTGGAGGTAGAAGTAGAAGGAGGTAGAAGTAGAAGTAGGATGAGGATGAGGAAACTAAAGAGGAAGTCGGGTAAGTTGCACTTTCCAGTTCAGGGGGAAAGTGCAGCTATTTAAGGAAAAAAGGGGAATAAGGAACCATCCAAGAACCCTATATCAGTTGGGAAAATATACTTGGTCCAGATATGACGATGACTTCATAGATATCTGGGTAACGGGACTAGCCTCCGCCTTGTTTACAACCAGTCATAAGATGAGAACATCATGAATATACTACCAATAATCCTATATTTCTATATTATTCTCTATTATTCTCTATTATTCTCTAGTGTTTACTTTTATCTACTTTTATTACTTTTATTTACTTTTATTTACTTTTATCTACTTTTATTCTATAATTCCCCCATGTAGCATTCTAAACAAGAGGATTATTGACCCGAGAGATGTTACACTTCTTTCTTCCCCCCCCACTTTGGTGTCTGTGCAACCATACTCCAACAATTACCGCGCAGTAGGGGCATACTACAACATATACACTATTCCTATTTTAATAACTTGTAGGTTTTATTTCATGCGTATTCACACGGCCTGAACCACTCACCGGCAAAACAAAGAATCAATCACCGGGAAAACCCGTCCATATTCGTCAATACTTCGCGCTTTGACAAGAACCTTGGCGAAATGTAAACTCCGGAGAAAATCAGCCGACAAACCGGGAAAATCACTACGGAGTACAGTGGTCCTCGGTGTCTGAGCCATTATACGGAATGTACGGAGTGATCGGTTTGAGGTATAACATGTGGTTACTTCAAGAATATTCGAGACTATTCACAATCCCCATAGATCCTCAAATTGATATCCACATGTGGTGACGTCGGATGAACGGTTGATAGCCCCGACCCAGTTTTTTCCCCGTTAGTCGCGGCCAGCTCCATACCAAGCCGAGGTGTTTATTCGAAGTGTATCTATTGCATTCCATGCCCCAGCGCTCTAGCCCCTATGGAGTATACTAGATTGCTGCCTGGTTTACACTGCCCAACATACCGTAGCCCCTGGAAGTTAGGGGGAAAAAAGCCTAACTCTGGTACCTCCGGGCCCCCGACCATTGGCCCAACACCGTAACCCTCAGATATCCCGCAAAAGCAAGTGGCCGGATTGGCAACTTTGCCATTTCACTTGAAACAGGTTCCTAGTTAGATTGGTTACTATCCCCTATTAATTACGGCGGGATAATATTAAGGTGGTATCGTTCGATTCATAAATGGCTCTCTATCTACTATGGTGATGTGATTATATTCGAAGTTCGCGAGTTTCCCCGACTTCCGCCCCCCGTCTGAAACCTGCGCTCTCCGACTGGCTAACATCACCGCTCCCTTAATTCGTTTGGGTTCTGATTACCCCTCTATGTCCTTTGAGACGGGCGCAGGCGCAGGCGCACTCGCAGCCCGTTTGTTAATAAAGGCATTCGCAAAGCAAGCAACGCTACCGGCTACCAACAGCCCCACCGCGGCCCAAGTCATCCCGAGGAATTTCTCGCCGTGCTGGGCTGACACGTTCGAGCCCTTGCCGTGGGCATTAATTAGAGCGACAAATTCAAACCCGATGACGGTGGCGATTATGGATGCGATGCTGATGCTAAAAGATCCGAGCTAATTAATGATTCCATGTCAGCCACTTTTGTCGTACTCCGGGGAAATGGGGAACTTGCGCAATGCACCTCGCTGAACTGGGAAGTGCACTGCCTGCATACATGACCTGCAGATACAGGGTTGATGTAGGGGGTAAACTCCATCACCAGATCGTGTCCATGTATAATGTAACTCACCACGAAAAACCAAAATTCAATCGGGCCCTGGCATGCTTTCGGAGCGAGAGTCGCCCATACTCGTACAAGCATCGCAACGCCCATCGCGCCAACTCCGATACTGTACATCACCGCCATAACTTGGGATGTCATTTTGAAGGCGTGGAAGTCATCGCTGATAACGCGCGGCCACTCCAGCTGCGGGCTGGAGGTGACCTCCTTCGGCCAGGCTTGTGTCAGGTCGAATGAGGACAAAATCGTGCGGTTCGAGCATTCAGTCACGTTGCGCGTGACTTCTACACCGGCGTCGGTTGTTATCAGTGTTCCCTGGCAGTAGGATAGCACATGGACAGAATAGAAATCGTGGGTTCCACTGCCGGTGCTGACCGAGGGCGTGGAAAGCTAATGGATCGGGCCAAGTCAGTCTTCCGCATCTACCTGCCACTTATATAATGGAGACGATCGGACTTACCGTCAAGAGATCCACATCTTCGAGGAAGTTTTTCTGCGTCCCTGCGAAGAGACATAGGAGGGTGAGTACAAATGCGACAAACACTGCCACGGTCTGGAATAAGCCCTTGAAGTTCGACATGGTGGAGAGTCTGAGTCGAGTGGATGTATTGGTCTGTCTAGTTCTAGTTGTCTGCAAGATTTGGTTGGATCCGGTATGCAGTATCTGGTGATAACCACAGCGGATGGTCTGAAAGCTCGATATTCAATGAGAAGAACCCGAATCTGCGGTTCTCACCCTCATATACATAGCATCCTGGAAATCGGGAGGATCGGGATCTTTTCTCACGATGGCTTCATTCCAGACGTGGGCTGTTAGAAAGGGCGAGAGCACATATGTTCTGCATAATATCGAGCTTGGATTTTTTCGTGGAATGTATGCATTACACATGATCGGATAGAAGGCCTCTAGCCATTGAAAAGGTAAGTCCGGAGTGACCTAAGTATGATGGCTGGATGGGAAGGGGATGATGGGTGTGGTCCTGCGCGCTTTAGGAATGTTCAGAATGTTACCAGCCACGAAGGATCTTGCATGTCGACATAGTACTTGTGTTTTATTCGTTGGATCCGGCATTGATGAAATTAATTTAGATATGAATTGGATATGAATTTTATCTATGGGCTGGTTTTGGGAAGTTTTCGACCTCGGAGATGAAGGGATGTGCCAGGGTTATATATTAGCTCCCAAGAAATTTGACGTCGACGACAGGGGTTTAATTACTTATTGCCTTGGCTACTTCCGGTATTACTACTGTTAGAACCTATTTTGGATTAACTCAGTCTCAAGGAACCTCCTATTTCATCTAGCACCTATTAATAACGACGTGCCAAAGCTTCGTATATATCGATATACCCTCCTTTAGCGTAGGAAGTTCTGCTTCTATTGTAGACTATCAATGAAACCACGCGATCCCTAGAGTACCACACCCAATATGCACTTAGCGCGAGTTATTAGCCACTAATGATTACCTACTCAGATTTATCGGAGGCATCTATTGAGCACTTGGATCTGTCCTCCTGCCGCAGTCCGTTAGCGTCGAGGTGAACATTTTGATTAGTAGTTGAGTCGACTACTAGCGAATACTCATTATGGCATGCACAAACCCCATTTTACTTTTTTTGTTGAATCGAGAGTTATTGATACCTACCTAAGAGTAGTAGTGACAAAGAAAGATATAAAGGAGAGAAATGAAGCTCTGCTGAAGCCGGAGACGCTGAACGAGCTTAAGCGGTCCCATCCGACTGTCGAGGTACGTCCTATTGCACTTTTATAGAATCCTAGCAAGGAATCGCGTAAAACCTACTTGCATTACGTATCAGCACTTTACACCACTTCAGGTTGCTTCTGCTGCGGCCAGAGATGCCGATGTGGAGGCCCTAGGCGTGGTTATAGTGGACCCATTGTCACATCGTGCCTTCCCCCTTTGTCAAAATTGTTACCGACCCTTAAGCTACTACGGTGCAAATACCTGTCTCCTCTTACTTTCTTACTTTCTCCTTCTTTCTTCCTTCTTTCTTCCTTCTCATCCCAGGTATCTCTTTCAAGTTTAGCACCGTCCACAAACCAGGTTCGAAGATGAGTTCTAACAAAGCCCGTGGAAAGCGCCCTGCTGCTTCCACAAAACGGGAGCGCCGTCCACAAAGAAGGTAAGAGCAATGAGTTAAAGACAGACTGAGAGCGTGTACTAACAATCATATCACAACTCACAGGTACGAGCGGCCCGCAAACACCTTAAAGCTGCGCGTGCGACCAAGTCTGCCGATTTCCTCCCAGTTAAAATCGGTCGAGGAAAGTGGGTCAGCTTAGAAGACCACAAGTCACAGATGGCCGCTTATTTGGGGTTTAAAAATACTTCCGATCTTTGCGCGTTTGCCATCTCTTGGCCTGTCATTCTTGCTGAGAAATCCTTCCTATCTCCAAGAACTTGTCGCGGCCTGGCCCATTCACCTTGTTGAACAAGACTGGAACTCTACAGGGCATATCTATTGTCTCCACAGACCCAGAAACAGCCTGGGCATTGGGGGAGAGCGTCACGAAACAACGACAATCGTCTCAAAGGAAGAATATTACAGCGTGGTCTCTGTACATGCTGGTGTAAACCGTCAAATGATACGAAAACGCCACCGACGAGGAAAACCTTGAGAAGTCAGCCAAGAACAGTAGGATTTCATCGAATGCCATAAGAACAACAAGACGAACATTGCCATCTCGTTTCCAGTTCCCGAGATTGGTCCCTTGACCAACAAAGGTGAGGGCCAGCTTGAGCTATATAATCGGTGTTGGGAGTTAGTCAAGTATCTAAGAAGTGGCTTCTATCGATCCAATTGGAAGACCAGATTTGCTACACTGCATGCTGTAGAGAATGGAACTGTCGTGAGCGAGGCGCATGCATCATCTTGGATGCAGAGCTCTGCCCAGAAAGTAGTCTCTGGCCTTTCAAGCATCAAGAAGGCCTTTGCAAGCGACAAACTTGCACTGATTAACGTCGAAGTGAAATTGGTTAGGGGAATACATATTGCGAGCAACATGGAGACCGAAGCTGCTATCCAGAAAGCCTTGGACCGGGAAGTCGAGCTTCCGCCTTCCGAATTCAGACTACTATGGGACTCTTGAGTGCTCCCATGGAGCGAGCAGTTCAGAGACAGCATCCAGCGGTCTCTAAACTGCCAGGAGTTGGGTCTCGACCTGCATGCCATGTTGATAAGATATGATCATGCAGCTGAGCACGAGTCCGGACACATGGACTGTCTCGGCCAGGACTGGAAAGGCATCAAAAAGATCTTCGACAATTCCCAATACTCAAACTTTGTTCGTCTTTTTAGGTATCTTTTTAGGTATCATTTTAGGTATCATTTTAGGTATCTTTTTAGGTATCATTTTAGGTATCATTTTAGGTATCATTTTAGGTATCTTTTTAGGTATCTTTTTAGGTATCTTTTTAGGTATCTTTTTAGGTGTCTTTTTAGGTATCTTTTTAGGTGTCTTTTTAGGTATCTTTTTAGGTATCTTTTTAGGTGTCTTTTTAGGTATCTTTTTAGGTATCTTTTAAGGTATCATTTTAGGTATCATTTTAGGTATCTTTTTAGGTGTCTTTTTAGGTATATATAAAGGCGGTAAAAAAAGCACACTTCGTGTAAGAGATTTTGAAATATCTATATTCCTCAAAATTGAAGCTATCCCGCCCCACAAATCATCAGTTTCTTCGTATCCCCAACATCGAAAACCGTGCAAAATGCCTCCTTACATTAATCTCGAGAGATTCTATGGCAATGCAGATTGCTACTAGTCCCGATCGAGGGAGAGAGCTTAATTGTTAGTTTGTTTGCTACGTGGGATGCTCTACTATTTAAACACCAGAGATCCGTCACCTGCTCTCTCCCTCTCTCTCTTTCTTTATTGATAGACCCGGCACGTGACACCGGGGTCAAAATTCATTTTCCCTTGGGATCCGCGACTACTTGCCACTGGCGCCCAGATTCGTGATAATATCTGGCGTTCACTAAACTGCCAGGCACTCGGTCTGGACTTGCAAAGCCTTTGCATGATGTATCATTGCGAAGATACCAATCGTGATGAACACGCTAATGGGCTCCTCCGAGATTGGACAACACTGCGTGCTGTCTTCGAGAGTTCTGGTAATTCGAACTTCGTTCTAGAGGTTCGCATGGAGCCCTTTGACACCAAGGATTCGATGTACTCCCTCTATGAGGACGACAGTGATCCAGTTGATCCAATAACATACCTTGCCATCGTGAACTCCGAAACCAAAAAACAACAAATGCATCATTAGGAGACTTCCACAGGTCCAGAACCGTCGGCTGAGAAGAACCACAAAGGAAATATCTGGAAGGAGTTTAATTTCGTCAATTCAGTTCAGTTCAGTTCAGTTCAGTTCAGTTCAGTTCAGTTCAGTTCAGTTCAGTTCAGCTCAGTTCAGCTCAGCTCAGCTCACTTCACTTCACTTCACTTTACTTCACTTTTACTTTATTTTACTTTACTTTACTTCACTTCACTTCACTTTACTTTACTTTACTTCACTTCACTTCATTTTTATTTTACTTTATTTTTACTTTACTTTATTTTTACTTTACTTTACTTCACTTCACTTCACTTTACTTTACTTCACTTCACTTCACTTTACTTCACTTCACTTCACTTTACTTTACTTTACTTCACTTCACTTCAGCTCAGCTTACTTCACTTCACTTCACTTCACTTTAGTTTAGTTTAGTTCAGCTCAGTTCACTTCACTTTTCACTTCACTTTTCACTTCACTTTTCACTTCACTTTTCACTTCACTTTTCACTTCACTTCACTTTTCACTTCACTTCACTTTTCACTTCACTTTTCACTTCACTTTTCAATTTTCACTTCACTTTTCACTTCACTTCACTTTTCACTTCACTTTTCACTTCACTTTTCACTTCACTTCACTTTTCACTTCACTTCACTTCATAGGTCAGGAATCACCTCCTATGTCGCTGTCTGCATCCATGATGGGGCATGGGAGTTATTCACGGTGCTACCGTTTTGAACAGCTTCGGTAGTCGCAAACTGGTTCCTCCAGTTTGCTCTATAAAAGCCACTAGCGACGTATCGTAGTAGTTCCCAGCAACGGTTATAACTTTCGAGCTCATTCTCCCCTTTGTCGGCCAATGGGCCAAGCTCGGGGCACGGGAAATGGCCCATACTCTCTGGGAAGGATAAGGAAATGCCCTGTTTGTTGGATGCGTGCCGGTTCAAAAACTCCGCCTGTTCGGTTTGAGTTCGTGACAGATTCTCTGTAACACTCAGATTTTTGTATTGTTTGACGTTTGAGACTATATTCCAGATACTCCAAGCCACAATTTTCTTTCTCTGGTTGGTTCGGTGGTTTGGAGAATCGCTTGAGTGCCATGTCCATGTCAACTCAGGAGATGAGGTCACAGCCACAATTTGGCTTCTTAATCCTGGATTGTCTAGGAGAGTGAATGGGGAAATCTCCTTTATGTTTTTGGCCGCTGGTGCGAAGGACTTGATTGATTTTGATTGATTGATTGATTTTGATTGATTGATTTTGATTGATTGATTTTGATTGATTGATTGATTGATTGATTGATTGAAGTTCTTATACCTGTTGCAGCCTGCATCTAGTGCGTGATGTAGCTATATAGGTCGGTGCGCCGGAGAACCTATCCTAACGCCGTTCCCAATGTAATGACTGGCTAGGCCCTGCTTAGTGCTTTAAAGCGACTAGGTGCCCCAATTTGTTACATGATGTGTGTTTTGAATTCGCTGTGACATAAGGCGCCCCCTATAACTCAGATCGTCCATGTTGGCATGTCAAATACCCATGCTGTTAACCCCTAGAACAGCCCACCACATAGGGAATTCCACGTATAGTGACCCGAGTTGTCACTAGTACATAGAGTGCTATGCTAGGGCTCCCGCCTTTCATTGCGTTCACAGCAAGCTACCCCCGCTAAGGATCTACCATCCAGGTCCTAGTCAAGTCAACCAAGGCATAGGCTTTCTTCGGTAGGTGTCTCAAAAGTGGGAATTGTGCCGGTGACAGGATTTGAACCCGTAGCCTCTACGTAGACCTTGACATTTCCCATGGGCACCCTACAATCTTCGGCCCACCGTACATGCCCATAGATCCCATGGGCCGGGCACCCAGCCTTGGTGCAGCCCATGGGACTAAAAAAAAATCCCACGCTAGCATAACTAACCTAAAACGGATGTATAAAATGCTGAGTTATCATAATAATATATCGTTATTTATACTTGTTTTGTTAGTACTTATCTTCAACCATATTATGCCTATAGCTAGACTTCGGTAGAACCCATTTTAGGTCGGAACCTCCAACCTAAAACCCAACCTATTAGGTTTTAGGTTCCGCCCTCTATAACCTAACAGTGTGGACTATTGAAAATATATATTTGTGGTAGAGGGGAGTATATATATATTATAGGATAACTATAAATGTAAATAGAAATATCTTATTCTTATTTTATTTTATATGTAATTGATATTATATTAAAGCTATATTTCTCTTTTCTTATATTCTTGTTTAATATATCTAGTAATTTAGCTAGTATGTAAATTGTGGAGGTTTATAACCTATCTCTATATATTTATATATAAATTCGTTGTAAATAAAATACCTAGAAAATTAGCATAAAACTATACAATTATACAAGTCACGAGTTTCGCCCCTATTTGGATTGTTTGTAGTCCCATGGGAAATGTCAAGGTCTACCTCTACGCTTCATACTAGGTCCCCAACTACAGTAAAACCTAGTTATAACGAACCCGGTTATAACGAATACCCAGTTTTAACGAAGTAATACTGGCCCACCAATTAATCCGCCATAGTAATAACGAAATTCCCTCCTTACTACGAACTTCGTTAACGCATTTCACTACCGAGTGGCCACCTACTACCGAGTGGCCACTCCAAAACACCATGGTAAATGCGATATTTTACAACATTATATCTTAACAACGGTACTCTATATAGGAATTTCCTAATAGTTGAATGATTTTTAAGTGATATAGCCTCTTTACGGGCTTTTAGGAGTATATACGGCTTAGTGATTGAGGTGTATATGTTTCTAGCTTTTTAGGTGGCCACTCGGTGGTGAAATACGTTAATTCACTATTCCTCCCATACTAAATTCGTTAAAACGAGGTTTTATGACATCATTTTTAACCAATCAAAATACCTCGCCGATTAATCCTTGCCTCCTAGAAAGTAGTACTACAAGAGTACCGCCGAAGCAACCCTTAGCTCTCTAGTAAACAGCTCAATCAATAGTTTTACGAAGCCTATAATCATCGCCTATCTCCCTCTATAATATCTAAGATCCTTTCCTCCCGATATAATCACCTTAACGCCGACCTCTTAAAGCATCAACCTAATACTAAACGCTCCCGAATTGCTAAGTGGCTAGATCTTCGAAAAAGCCCTAACCTATTAGGTTAAACTCGCCGAAAGCCATATTCCTATAACCTAATTGATAAGATTATAGACGATGATTTAGGTATAATTGATCATATTTTACTTAGTAAGTTCCTTCTGGAGGTTGATAAGGATGAAATTGAGGTTAAAGCGGCCTAGATTCTATATGATAAAGTTATTTAGGCTTTAAATACGCTTTGTCTATATAGAGAGTAGGAGGATTAAGGTAAAGCGCATTTAATTAGCGCGCTTTATAAACATAGAAGATTGGTAGAAGCGAGGAAAGTAGGGGGGACACACACCGGCGTGCGAAGGACTTTTCAGCAAGCAAGCTTGGCCAGGAGATGGCGAATGCCCGGAGGTCTGAGGTATTCTGAAATCCAAGATATGCCACTAGCTGAGCCTCAATCAATCAATCAATCAATCAAAGTTCAATTAACCAAAGTTCAATTAACCTGTTGCAGTCTAACTAGTTGCGTATGACTATGCAGGCGCTTCATCCAACTGAAGCAAGAACTCGAAGCCAAACGCCGAGCTGGAACCACATATAGTGCTTCCAGAGAGTATACAGATGCTAATTCGTAAAAGAATGCGGAATCAGCCCATTCCTGTAACCCGTAAAACCCGCAAATCCCCCTAACACATACATAAGAAATAACATATAATGACTGCATGGAGTGCACCCTCCACCTTCCATCTCTCAATTCTCTCACTTCTCTCTCACTTCTCTCTCACTTCTCTCTCACTTCTCTCTCACTTCTCTCTCTGTAAACCCCCTCCTGCCTCAGTTTCATTTGATGGTGACGTTGCCTTGGCCAGTTGATTGGCATGTTGGTCGACTCTGGCTGAGTTTCTCGTTTCACAGCATCATCTGTCGTCATTGGCTAATACCCATCGTCTTCCACACCTAGCTAGCTGAGCCTCGTGGTCATCTAACTTCACCCAATCAGTTCCATTGAGTCTAACGGGGCGGAATTTGGTGGGCTTTGTGCTTCGTGCAGATTATAGTGGCGTGGGTAGTGGCGGGAGGGCCATTTGAATCTGTAAATAATGATAAAATGTCAGAACGCGGTTTCAATATATCTTCTAGGTTACTACTCTCACCTTCTTTGCGGGGGGAGTATCCGATTCCGGAGAAGCAGCCGTGCGCTTTTTCCGGGATTTAAAGAAACTCATTGTGATATTTGGGATGTATGGATGTGACGGGCTAGATAATAACACAGAGTCAGTGGAAGGCAATCAACACAGACAAAGGCGATGCTAGGTGACTCACCTATGGGTGACAGTGGTGTCCAAGGCAGACAGTACTGCGCGGGACCGCTGAGCTGAGATGCCACTGAGGGTGACGCTGAATACTATGGGGTCAGTGGCTGGCGGAGGAGCAGGATTGAGATATTAGAAACTGACATATAACTGGAGAAGGGTGGTGATGAAGAAAAACAAGGACGATATTGAAGAGAGGAACTGAGTGGATGTTGGGGAGACGAAAGGGATTGGGTAAGATGGTAGTCTGAGTTGTTCTTCTCGAAGGTCACCATAACTTCAAACGGGGATTGTCTGTCACTTGAGAATTACTGCCTGACATTGCAAAGACATCCCACATCGTAGCCTTCTTTGTGAATGCTAACAGGGTAATAACTTTATGCAGCTGGCTAATTTAATGAAAATTGAGCCGCATTATTCTAGACACAGCACAACTTGACGGAGTTGTTGATCTGTTAGCATTCATGATGAAGAAGGCCATGATGGTCTCACCGTATACTTCCCGCCACACCTCAAATCATGCCTCCATGGAAGATGATCCTGTCTCATGCTTCACGTATGGCTTGACGGACTGTCTTTGTGG